CTGAGCGGAAGGCAGACAACGGACTGAGCCACCCAGGCGCCCCTGGGCATGAATTTTTTTAAAAAAGTCACAAGAGAGGGGCGCCTGGGTGGCTCAGTCGTTAAGCGTCTGCCTTCGGCTCAGGTCATGGTCCCAGGGTCTTGGGATCGAGCCCCACGTCTGGCTCCCTGCTTCTCCCTCTCCCACTCCCCCTGCTTGTGTTTCCTCTCTCATTGTCTCTCTCTGTCAAATAAATAAATAAAAATCTTTAAAAAAAAAAGTCCCAAGAGAAATTTTAAAAATAACTAAATTAAAATGAAAACACAACTTACCAAAATTTGCGGGGTGCAGCAAAAGCAGTGCTTAGAGGGAAATCTATAGAATTAAATGTATACTCAAAAAGAAGAAAGACCTAAAATCAATAATCTCAATCTCAATCTTAGGAAACTAGAGAAAGAAGAGGCAATATAAGCCTAAAAACAGAAGAAAAGAAATAATAAAAACTAGAGCAAAAATCAGTGAAATTGAAAACAGCACTCATTAGGGGGGAAAAAAATCAACAAGACCAAAAGCTGGTTTTTGGGAGACAAAGTCAATAAAATTGATAAACTGCTAGCCAGGATAACAAAACTAAAAAGAGGAAACAGAGATTACTACAATGAGAAATGGAAAAGGGGGCCATCACTACAGATCCCATGGACATTAAAGGGATAATAAAGGAATACTATGAACAACTCTGTGCTCACAAATTTGATAACTTAGATGAAATGGACCAATTCCTTGAAGACACAGACTATCAAAACTCACATAAAGAGAAATAGGTCAACTAAATAGACCTATATTTATTAATGAAATTGAATCAATGATTAATAATATGCCAAATAAGAAAGCACCAGGCACAGGTGGCTTAACGGTGAATTGTACCAAATATTTAAGGGGGAAAAATGATACCAGTTCTCTGCAATCTTTTCTGGAAAATAGAAACAAAAAAATGCTTCTTAACTCATTCTGAGGCAGCATTACCCCAATAAAACCACAACCAGATAGACACAAAAAGAAAATTGCAGATCAATATCTTTCATGAGCATAAAAGCAAAAATCCTTAACAAAATATTAGCAAGTCCAATCCAACGATGAATTATACACCACAAAATAAGTATATTCTAGTAACCAAGTGGGATTTATTCTAGGTGTGCAAGAATTTTAAAATCAGTTAGTGTAGTCTATCACATATATATGCTAAGGTAGAAAAATAATATGATTTTATTTTATTTATTTATTTATTAAAGATTTCATTTATTTGACAGAGAGAGACACAGTGAGAAAAGGAACACAAACAGGGGGAGTGGGAGAGGGAGAAGCGGGTTTCCCGCTGAGCAGGGAGCCCGATGCAGGGCTCCATCCCATGACCCTGGGATCATGACCTGAGCCGAAGGCAGACGCTTAATGACTGAGCCACCCAGGTGTCCCTATGATCTTTCTTAAAAGATTTTATTTATTTATTTATTTGACAGAGAGAGAGAGAGAGAGCACAAGCAGGGGGAGCAGCAGAGGGAAAGGGAGAAGCAGGCTCCTAGCTCAGCAGGGAGCCTGACATGGGGCTTGATTCCAGGACCTTGGGATCATGACCTGAGCCAAAGGTAGACACTCAACGACTGAGCCACCCAGGCACCGCAAAATAATATGATCTTATCCACTGATGTTGAAAAAGCATTTGACAAAATCCAATACTCATTTATGATTAAGCTCTCAACTAACTAGGAAGAGATCTCTTCAACTTGATTAAGGATCATCTACCAAAAAATGTATAGTTAACACATTTCTTAATTGTAAGGAACCAGATATTTTCCCCTTAAGATCAGGAACAAGGCAGGGCACCTGGGTGGCTGCATCGGTTGCACATCCAACTCTTGATCTGGGGTCAGGTGGTGATCTTCGGGTCGTGAGATTCAGCCCTATGTCTGGCTCCACGCTCAGCAAGGAGTCTGCTTCTCCCCCTTTCCCTCTCCCTCTGGTGCTCCTCCTGCTTGAATACTCGCTCCCTCTCTCTCTCTAAAATAAAATAAATATTTTTTAAAAAGCTCAGGAACAAGGCAAGGGTGTCCCCTCTCACCACTACCACTGAACATTGTACTGGGAATCTAGGATGTGAAATAAATAAAATATGTACAGATTGGGAAGAAAAAATAAAACTATCTTTGTTCACAGATGACATAACTGTTTATGTAGAAAACCCAAAGAATTAACAACAACAACAAAATTCCTGAATTAATAAGCGGTTATTATGAAGTTGCAGGAAACAAGGTTAATATTAAAAAGTTAATTTCTTCCCTGTACACCAGCAATGAACCATGGAAATTTGACATTTAAAACACAGTACCAGGTGCCTGGTCTGGGTGACTTAGTCAGTTAAGCATCTGCCTTCAGCTCAGGTCATGATCTCCGAGTCTTGGGATTGAGTCCCGCATTGGGCTCTCCCTCAGCGGAGAGTCTGCTTCTCCTTCTCCCTCTGCTGCTCCCCCTGCTTGTACTCTCTCTCTGTCAAATAGATAAATAAATCTAAAAAATAATAATAATTAAAAATATAAAACACAATACCATTTACCTTAGCATCATAAAAATGAAATATTTAGGGATAAATCTAACAAAATATGTTCAGTACCTACATGAGGAAAACTACAAAATGTTGATGAAAGAAATTGAAGTTCTAAATAAATGTAGGGGCTCCTGGGTGGCTCAGTCAGTTAAGCAGCTGCCTTCAGCTTGGGTCATGATCCCAGGGCTCTGGGATCAAGTCCCACATAGGGCTCCCGGCTCAGCAGGGAGTCTGCTTCTCCCTTTCCCTCTGCTCCTCCCCACTGCTTATGCACTTTCTCACTCTCTCTCTAATAAATAAATAAATAACCAAATAAATAAATAGAGAGCTATGCCATGCTCATTGAAAGGAACTCAATATTTTTAAGATGTCAATTCTTCACATCTTGATCTCTAGATTCAGTGTAATTCCAATTTAAACCCTAGCAAGTTATTTTGTAGATGTTGACAAACTGATGCTAAAGCTTATATGAAAAGGCAAACAGGGGTGCCTGGGTGGTTCAGCTGGTTGAGCATCCGACTCTTGGTTTTGGCTCAGGTCATGATCTTGGGGTCATGGGATTGAGCCCCGTGTCAGTCTCCACACTCTGCTGGGAGTCTGCTCAAGATTCTCTCTCTCTCCCTTTCCCTCTGTCCCTCCACCCACTCGGGCACTCTCTCTCTCTAGAATAAATATACAAATCTTAAAGAAGATTAAAAAAAAGAAGAGAAAAGCAAAGGCAAACACCTGGAATTGACACCACCATACTCAAAAGAATAATGAGATTGGAGAACTGATACTATATGATTTCCTAGAAAGCTACAGTAATCAAGGCAGCCTGATACTGACAAAAGACTAGAAAAATAGATCAGTGGAACATAACAGAGAGCCCAGAAATAGATCCATACAATATAGATCTTTGACAAAGGTGCAAAGTCAACACAATAAAGAAGATAGTCTTTCACAAATGGTGGTGAAACAACTGAACACCCATAAGCAAAAAATGAGTCTATACCAGACTAGAATTAACTAAAAAAGTGGTCATAGACCTAAATATAAATTGCAAAGTTTAAGACTTCTAGTAGATAACATAGGAGAAAATCTAAGTGAACCAAGATTTGGCAATGACTTTTCAGGTAAGCAAATCCATGAATGAAAAAATTGTTAGGTTGGACTTCATGAAAACTTTAAAATTCTGTTCTGCTAAATATACTGGTAAGACAGTGAAAAAGACAAGTCACAGATTAAAAGAAAATATTTCTAAAACATATATCTAATATAGGGCTGTATCTAAAATATACAAGGAACTCTCAACAACCAACAATACAAAAACAATTTTAAAATGGGCAAAAGATCTGAACAGACACCTCACCAAAGAAGATGTACAGGTGGCAAATAAGAATTTGAAAAGAGGGGCGCCTGGGTGTCTCAGTCTTGGTTAAGTATCTGCCTTCGGCTCAGGTCATGATCCCAGGGTCCTGGGATCAAGCCCCGCATCGGGCTCCCTGCTCAGCGGGGAGCCTGCTTCTCCCTCTCCCTCTGCTGTTCCCCCTGCTTGTGCTCTCTGGCTCTATCTCTCTGTCAAATAAATAAAATCTTTTTTAAAAACAGTTTGAGGGGCACCTGGGTGGCTCAGTCGGTTTAGCAGCTGACTTCGGCTCAGGTCAGGATCCCAGGGTCCTGGGATCGAGCCCTGAGGAGAGCTCCCTGCTCATCGGGAGCCTGCTTCTCCCTCTCCCTCTGCTGCTCCCCCTGCTTGTGCTCTCTCTCTCTCTGTTAAATAAATAAAATCTTTAAAAAAAAAAAAAAGAATTTGAAAAGATGCTCAACATCATATATCATTAGGGAGTTATAAATAAATAATATTTAATAAGAAATAAGATAAATAAAATAATAAGATATCAATACAATGACTAAAATCCAAAAACCTGACAATACCAAATGCTGGCGAGGATGTGGAGCAATAGGAGCTCTCATTCATTGCTGGAGGGAATGCAAATGGATGCAGCCATGTTAGAAGACATTTGGCAGTTTCTTCCAAAGCTAAACATAGTCTTACTATATGATCCAGTAATTGCACTCTCAGGTATTTATCCAATTGAATTGAAAACTTATGTCCACAGAAAAACCTGCACATAAATATTTGTAGCAGCTTTATTCATGATTGCCAAACCTGGGAGCAACCAAGATGTCTTTCAAAGGTGACTGGATAAACTGTGGTAAATTCACACAATGGAATATTATTCAGTGATTAACAAGAAAATTGTTGGGACACCCGGGTAGTACAGTCTGTTAAGTGTCTCACTCTTAGTTTCGGCTCAGGTCGTGATTTCAGGGTTGTAAGCTCAAATCGGGAGTCAGGCCCTGCACTCAGCATGGAATCTGCTTGAGATTCTCTCTCTCCCTCTGCCCCTTTCCCCGCTCATGCTCTCTCTCTCTAAAAGGAATAAATAAATCTTTAAAAATTTTTAAAAATAAAAATAGTTATCAATCCACAAAAAGACATGGATGAACCATAAATGCATATTGCCAAGTGAAAGAATCCAGTTGGAAAAGGCTACATAGTGTATGATTCCAACTATTTGACATTCTGGAAAAGGGAAAAGTAAGGAGACAGTAAACAGATCAGTGTTTCCAGGGGCACAGAGGGAGGTGGATGGGATGAATGGGTGGAGCATGGGGTGTAGATGGTGTTGACACTGCTCTGTATGATACCGTAATGGTAGATTGGTCAGTATCCATAGAACTCAGCAACACAGGGAGCAAACCTAATGTAGGCAAATCAGAGAAAAGGAAATCAGTCAGGACGTTGGGGATCCCAGGAGCAGTGCAAACGGTGCAAGACCTCACTGCATTACACGTGTGGGACGCCACCTCAGTGACGGGGCTGGAGTCCGCCAGGCTCAAGGCAGAGCACGTGCACACGCGCCCTGGGCTCTCGTGGACGCAGGGGCTTCCCGCGGGGGTCCAGCCTCACAGGTAGGACGCTGCTGCGCACCCACACTGGAATGGAGGGACCAACTCGGTGGCCGGCGGAGGCTGCGAACCTGGGGTGTCACTGTGGAGTGGGGGGTGACAGGGAATCGGGGAGAATGGTCCATGGGATGACGGATGGGAGTTGGAGGCACGAGCTTAATGTCGACACAGATTATTTACAGATTATTTACAGAAATATTTCCAGGCTTGTATACATACAGTTGGTATACACATATATTTCTTTGGCTTGTTTACTGAGCAGGCACAAAGAAACAACTCTCCAGTAGCCATGAACACACCTATTTCCCAGATCTTGGTTCCTAAATCCATTTTCTAATAAAAGGAAGGTGCCAGAGTCCTTGGGAAAATGACTGATTTTAGGACTGATACAGGAAATATACAGAATGAGCCTGGAGCATCTTGTGGTGCCAGAAATTAAGGAGGTCTTCAACACACACACACACACACACACACACACACACGTGAGTAGATCAAAGGAGCACAGACAACTGAAAGTGCTCCCAGTGGCCAAAGTTGAAACAATTTGAGCAACAAAATTAAAGTGGTATCACATTATAAACCAAAGTATAAAATAAACATCCACAAGTCCGGGCGCCTGGGTGGCTCAGTTGGTTAAGCGATTGCCTTCGGCTCGGATCATGATCCTGGAGTCCCGGGATCGAGTCCCATATCAGGCTCCTTGCTCGGCAGGGAGTCTGCTTCTCCCTCTGACCCTCCCCTCTCTCATGCTCTCTCTCTCTCTCATTCTCTCTCTCAAATAAATAAATAAAATCTTTAAAAAAAAAATCCACAAGTCCATTCTGATGTAAATAAATGACTGAATAAATTAATAAGTGGGAGAGAAGAGACAAATCTCCCATGCAAAAGAATTCTGAATGAAGTGTGTAGATCCTCCACCATAAAGGGGATAGGCACCGCCTACCAGCCCTTTAGTGAGGCATCTCCTTCCAAGGAGCACAGGACGAAGGGGGGCCCTCCTTCCAAGGAGCACAGGACGAAGGGGGG